GGTGTTCGCATTCAAGTGTTGGGAAAAGTGCGAATGTGCGTCCACATCGCACTATGCGCAACGCCGTGGATCGCGAGCTGGGATCGCTCCCAGCTCCGCTACCGTATAGAATTGCGCGTGGCAATTGTGAAAAGTAAGAAGCATGGCCGGCATGGCAACATGAAACATGAGAGATAGCAGAGCGGCGGCCTTTTTCCCTTTCAATGCTATACAGGTTCGCGGGCCCGCTGTGGGCCAGACGGCAGCGGACCCCTCCTATTCGAGCGAAGAGGAGGAGGAGGAGGAGGAGGAGGAGGAGGAGGAGGAGGAGGAGGAGGAGGAGGGGAGGAGGAGGAGGAGGAGGAGGAGGAGGAGGAGGGAGAGAGGAGGAGGAGAAGACGGAGGAGGAGGAGGAGGAGGAGGAGGGAGGGAGGAGGAGGAGAGGAGGAGAAGAGGAGGAGAAGGAGGAGGTGGCGGAGGAGGGAAGGGGAAGGGGGAGGAGGAGAAGGACCGAGAGGAGGAGACGGAAGGGGGGGGAGAGGACGGGGAGGAGGGGGAGGGGAGAGGAGGGGGAGGAGGGGGAGGAGGAGGAGGAGAAAAAGGAGGGGGAGGACGGGGAGGAGGGGGAGGAGGAGGAGGAGGAGAGGGATGGCGAAATCCTCCTGAGCCTACTGTAAGTGCTTGCTTCTCTGGGCTTGCTCACCTCTGCTGAGGACCTTAGACCAGAAACCCGAATTGATACGTCGTAAATACCCGCGCCCAGTGGCCGAGGGGGGTAAACAAACTGCTGCGAGCTTCCCGATGTGCTGGGAGACGAAACTCCCGCAATGGGAGCAGAAACGAATCCCCAGCCAGGCGCGGAGCCTCGGATGATGGGTTAAACGAATCCACCCCCCTGCTGAATGAACCTGCCTACCCAGGCGGGGGTCTCGTATAAGTGCCATCTACATTTCCGAAGCGAAAACACTCTGAGTTGTACCATGATGCGCGGGCGCTGGCTGACACGAAACCTTTACAATTGAGACAGGTCCTGCCTGTGTCGTCTAGCTGATGGAGGGCCCCTAAAGTGGCACACAGGGAGGGGGCAAAAGGGCGGACAGGCTGGGTTCTGGCTCTCCTAGGCTGTCGGCTTCCTACAGGAGCGTCCAGACATTGGGCCTTCTCGAACTCAAGGACTTCTAGGTTGGATCTCAGAAGTCTCATATTCTCGATTATCTGGATCATCTGACCCATGTGTATTTTTCCAACTCGATGGTTCTCTGCGGCAACGTGGGCAAACTCGTGGGCGACATCCGTCGACGAAAGCTGCATTGGCGCGACCGAGGGCGACGCCCCCGCCCGTCGCATGTGAGCTGGTGGAAAGAAAAGCGATATCTCCCGATCGCCGAGCCTGCGCGACTCCGACGTGGCGCCAGAGGTCAGCATCTGGTCCAGTGGGCGAGGTGGGATGCCCGTTGTAGAAATTCAGGTCGACCCCATTTGCAATCTGCAATATGCGCGACGTCGTGGTCGAACACCTGGAGGCCGAGGGGCGTGCCCGGCAGCTCGCCGCGGACCACCGTCTGCCCGTCGCCGGGCAGGGGCCCCCAACCCACCATCTCCAAGTGCACGTCATTGATGCTGAGGCTGTGGAAGTCGGCGGCGCTGACGCCCACGCGCCTGAGTGCTGGCGAGGCTGCGTCTGCTCCCCCGCTAAAAATTCGCCAAAAATATCCATGACTGGACTGGTGCGCCTAGCTTCGAAGCGCTGTGGGGCGTAGGCCTCAGCGCCGCGGACGGCCCAGTGGTAGTTCGCCGATGGCGGTGGGACCTGCGCCCAGGCATGGGGGGCCAAGCCGCGCGCCCAGTAGCAGTCGTGCATGTCCTGCTGCGCCCCCCCCCCCCCCCCCCCCCTCGCGCTTTCCGCGGCGTCGTGCGCGGGGCGCTCCTGGCGGGCGGTGCGCTTCCAGGTCCTATGGAATGGGGGTTCGTTTCCTAGTTAGCAGCATGGGCACATGCCGTCGGTGATGACGTTGGCCTGCTCCAACACTCGAGCCTTCGGCCACGCGGCCCCCGCTGCGATGGTGAGCAGCAATATAGACAGCCGTCGCCCGTGCTTCTTCTTGGCCAGGTACAGTGGCAGCTTGCGTTTTGACCTGCTGTCGATCCCGCGCCCCATGCCAGGCCCCCCGCAGCGTTGACTCGCATGGGCCCGCAGCTTGGCTTGTACACTGCGGCCCATGTCCTGCAGCAGCGCGTCTGGGGCGTCCACGCGTGGGTTCCCTATGGGCCGCGGGCGGTCGAGCTCCCAAGCGCCATGGCCGCGGGCTCCGAAGATTGCCCGTGGAAGCGCCCGCTCATGTAGACGCGTCGACGCCCACCTTAGGTCCAGGAGGCACATGGCGATGGCAGACTGCGGCCCGTTGATGCGCCGAACGCGCTGCCCGCAAGGTAGTGGCTGAAACTACCGGGTACTGAGTCCCACGCGCGATGCACGGCCTTCTCCAAGTGCCGGGCGGCTTCGCGCGGGAACTTGCGGGCGAGATCAGAGGGGGCGGCCTTGAGGTCGATTAGGGCAGCGAGACGCTGTCCTTGGAGTCGCGGGCCTAGCGAGTCTCCAAGCCGCCTCCGAAAGAGGGCCAGGTGCGCGCCAAAAACCCCGCGGAGTCGGCGCCTGTCGCTGCCTGCAGCTTGCGCCCCTTGAAGGGACAACCTGCCCATGACGTACCATCGTCGGGGGGCGCGGGTGAAGCGCGCGATCTTCGAGCGCTGCAGCCCGCGCTTGATGTGCCTCCGTGCCCTGGTGCCTCGTGCGGCTCGCGCTCCTGCGCCGAGGTCCGTGCCGAGGTATACTGATTGCGCCCTGGGCAGGACCTTGAAACCATGACGGGCCAGGCCTCTTGTGATGCACCTCAAGTCGTCCATGCTGGAGCATAGCACGATGCTTTTCTCGGCGACGCTGAGCCCCCGTTCGCGGAGTGCACAACATGTGTCCAGCAGGCACTTGATGACGTCGCGCCTGATGGCCAGGTGTAAACCCTGCATGCGCCGAGATAGGTCGTCCACCCATATGCGGTGGGAGAATATCGCACGAATTTGAATAACCAGTCGCATCGCCTTGTGGGTGATGGCCCCGGCGAATCGCGCCCCTGATCTGAGTCCTTGGACTATCGAGCGCGTTGGCTGCAATGGTAGCGTGTAGCTGCCGCTCTGGGTGCGGATCCTGGGAGCGATGCGCTTGAGAAGTTCCAGGCCGGGGGCTTCGGCGGGGAAATACAGCTCGAAGGCGTCTGCTCCCAGGTCGCACCAGCTGACAGAATCGTAAAGCTGTAAGGTGTCCAGGAGACCGTGCCCCTGTGGTGCGCGCGCGTAGGCTGTGAGTTCCCCCTACAGGGCCCGCTCATAGGCCTCTCTCAAGGCGGAGTTGTCTCGGACCGCTGCGCCCCATGGGGCGCGGCAGTCCTGGTTCCACGTGCGTACAGCGCCCTTGCGGCACATGGACCACAAGTGTGCAATCTCGGGGAGCAGCCCGATGATGCGGTCGCCGTTGTCCTTCTTTGCGCGCATGGCCCCGATCGTCATCAGGAGTTGGTGCGGCCACATCTGCAGCGGCTCCACGATGTTGAACAAGCGTGCGAGTTCCTCCAGCTCCTCCTGTGGCAGGCGCAGCAGGTCCAGCGGGCTGGGCGGTCGGCGCCTAAGCCCGTGCGCGCCCGTTGCCGTCTAAGGGCGTGGCGCACGCCGTATCCTGACAGTGGTGGGAGACCCTGAGCTTGAATCTTATCGATGATCTGTCTGAACAAGTCGGGGAATCGTCCTAGAGCCTGTCCTGGTGGAGCCCATAGTTGACGCCAGCTGGTAACTTTGTGGCCAAGCAGGTCCATGGGATGTACGAGTGTGCGGTGATCTGCCCGGATCGACTCGGCTGGTTGGGGCTGCGGCTTGAGCGAGCGATGTAGCGTGCTCAAAGCTGGGGCAATCATGGCCCACTCACGAAATTCAAAAAGAGACTTGCTGACTGCCCGCCGCTGTGCGCGTCGGGCGAGAAGTTCTCCCGCACCTGCGTAGTCGACCAGCTCCTCGACGGGGGCGGTGCGAACGCGGCCGAGTAGTTCCAGCCACTTCGTCCATGGAATGTCGTCCCTTGTCCTGATGATAGCACCCGCTCCTGCGGGAGCCTCCTGTAGTAAGCGGTCCACTGCCTCATGTAGCTGCTGGAGCTGGCGCTGACCGTTGCCACTGGCTCGGTGGCGGTAGATGCGCTGCAGCGTGGTGTGTAGCCGTGTCCACCACGAGATGCTCGAATCAAGGAGTGCGGTGGCCCGTTTGGTCTGGGCCTCCCTCACCGTCACGACATGAAACTCGGGGCCCTCTGCTCGTGAGCGCCCGAGGAGGTCCTGCTGGTGGTGGCTGTGAATGGTGGCCTCCACCGTAGTAATCCACGTGCCGTAAAGCTGTCCGGTGAGTGCGGTATCAGGTTTGAGAGAAAAGGCTACGGATTCGGCAACAGCAGCAGCAGGGCAGCAGCAGCTGGGGTTGAGCATCCCCGTTTGAGCACGGAGCTCGGTCCAGAGGTCGCTCGGGGTATCAAACTACGGCTGCTGTCTGGCTAGGGCGGAAGTCCCCTCCGCGGTCTGCTGGTTGCTGTACGAGGTCAGGCTGGCACGTGTGGACTCCTCCCCCTGGGTATTGGCAGGTGTGGGGGGGTTCTCACGCTGGGCCGAATTAGAAGAGCTAGGGGGGCTGTTAGGAGGTCCGTGGGGCTCTGTTTTCCCGTTGCTCGCGGAAGCCTTGACTGGCACGACTGCGGGCGCTGGGATCACTGCTGCATCGTTGGCAGCAGGCCTGAACACGGTCTCGTTGGCCCAAGGGTCCTCTTCCTCGGCTTCAGATTCGTAGCCTGGAGGAGGAGGAGGAGGAGGAGGAGGAGGAGGAGGAGGAGGAGGAGGAGGGAGGAGGAGGAGGAGGAGGAGGAGGAGGGAGGAGGAGAAGGAGGAGGGGGAGGAGGAGGGGGAATGATCTCGAATGGCGCCAGCCCCATCCCATGCCGCCGGGTTCTTGGACATCTCCTGGCGCGTCTTGCAATGCAGACGGGGGGGGGGGGGGGGGGGACGGCGCCACGCACCATGCCGCCCCCAGATCTCACACGGCCCGACCTAGGGTAGACTGGCGTCCTCGAAGAACATGCGACCCTCCGCCAGCCCAGACTGGAGAACACACGAGGGCCCCCTCCCCCAGGATGCACAATGACAACCGACAGACACGAAGAACAATACCGCAGGGTGTCCAAGCACGAAGCCGACCTCGATCTTGTGTCTCGGTCCCATCGGATCGGCAACTCTCTGCCGCTGCACTGTCAACTACGAGCCACGTCTGCAACGCAGAGCGGGTGAGTGCTGGGAAGGGGCATGCCATTCCTTGACAAACTTCTTGCCCCGATGTGTGGCCGCCGTGATCGCCGCGGCGCCCTCAATGACTCGCCATCGCTCGGACGTCCATTTCCAGTGCACTTTTCGGTTCCGCGCGTGCATTTTTTGCTCGATGGTCCAGGATGGTCCTCGATGGCTCTCGTCGAGAGAAAATCCACGCGTCCGAGCGATGCCAGGGAGAAGGGACGTGCCATTCCTTGACAAACACCTTGCCCCGATGTGTGGCCGCCGTGATCGCCTCGGCGCCCTTCAAAACCGACTCGGAGGCTTCGGGTCGGGGCCGGATACCGCGCAACGAGACATGGCAGAGGGGACGGGCCTCCCCAAGACGCTCAGAAAGAGGCCTCCCGCCTTCGAAGAGGACTCGTCGGAGCACTCCCCGGAGCCACCAAGGAGGGCTTCTCACTACCAGCCTGGAACATATCCCTATCCCTATGCTGGGCACCTCCTCATCACGATGCCGATCTTAGGGGTTCCCTTATATTTTTGGAGGGCGAATCCCTAAGACCGTCATCGCCTTTTGGCGTGTCGATCTTAGGGATAGGGATAAGTTCGAGGCTGGTAATCTCCTGGCCATCGCTCGGACGTCCATTTCCTGTGTTTTTGTTCGATTTCGTGCGTGTTTTGTTCGCCAAGTGATCAAGGATGCTCCTCGATGGTCCTCTCCGAAGGAAAAATGCACACGTCCGAACGATACCAAGTCTCAGGGGGCGTGGTGGATTCTGGTAGGCCTCGCCGCCCTCTGAGCAGGCCTGCCCCGTGCCACCTTCCCCCATCGGCGCGCCGCACGCACACGACCGGCGCTCCGCCCCGAAGATTTTCGGCTACACGCAGAAGTGACCCTGGGCAAGAGTGACCTTCGGTGCGCGGCTTTTGGGGGGCCGCGGAGGGACCAAACCTGGGCGCGCAAGCGGCTGCTGCTGCTTCGTTCTCAGCCATATGGGGAACCGTTCGTGCCCGCACCAGAGGTCACTCCGGCGAAAGGTCACTCTTACGTCTAATCGAGATCTGCGCTGATCGATCCGCGGGCAGCTCTGCGTCCCGGGTCCACGTTCAGGTCGGGCGCGTCTTCCTACAGGCGGCTTGGGGACGAACAAGCAAAAATATACCCCAAACAATAACCCAAGATGGTCAAACATGGTTCTAAGGAAATCGTCTCCTGACTATTGTTTGCCGTTTGTTGAATAATTCCCCTGTCGATTGACCAGGGACCGACCGTCCCGGCAATCCTATAGCCCTACCACGACATGTTCATCCTCCTCCTCCTCCTCACCACCACCACCACCTCACCCCTCCACCTCCTCCCCCTCCTCCCCCTCCTCACCACCTCACCCCTGCTCCTCCTGTTCCTCCTGATCCTCCTGCTCCTCCTCCTCCTCCTCCTCCTCCTCCTCCTCCTCCTCCTCTCCTCCTCCTCACCACCACCACCGCCACCACCACACCTCCACGAGGACCTCCTCCACCCTCCCCCTCCTCCTCCTCCTCCTCCTCCTCCTCCTCCTCCTCCTCCTCCTCCTCCTCCTCCTCCTCCTCCTCCTCACCCCATCACTCTCCTCCTCGCCAGCCTCCCACCATCCTCGGCATTCCGCCGCCCTCCTCCTGCACCGCCCGCTTTGCCCCGGCCTGCTCCGACATACGGCCATATCGTGCATCCACGATGCTACCATAAAGAGCGCTGGGTAAGGAACGCTTAGGCTCTCGTGGCCACGGCGAGCCGCCCTCTTCCCCCAAATCGGCGTGTCGTCCGGAGTCATTTGATGACGGTCGGGGCCCTTCGGGAACCAACAGAGGCGGTGACTGACAAGAAGCACTCCCGACGTATGTTTTTTCGCTGAGCGAGGTGGTTGGGGAGCTTGTTGTAGGAAAAGGTAGAACAGGAACCCGAAAAAACACACACACACACACACACACACGCAAAAAGAATTCCACACAAAGGGTTTTGGCACCACCAACGGTGCAACGCATGTGCACACATGCGACTGGATCCCCAGCGATCCGAATCAGGTTTGATGCACGGCCGCTCTCTAGGATGCAGTTGACACGCATGGTGTGGCAAAGCTGTTGGCGGCGACAATATCTCAATATCCGCTACCAACAAACATTGCATGGTGGTCTGGCACAGCCAAACCACCGTGCAACATCAGTTTGTTCATCCGTTGACAGCAGCGCGCGTCGCGGCAGCAGAACGCAGTAGCGCGCGGGCATGCAGGGCCGGCGATGTGGCTGGCCAGCTGCCAGCGCGATTTCGGCAGAAGAGCCGAAATCGACGCAGGATCGTTTTGGGCGTGGTATCCGGCGCAGCTGCATCGCACTGCCAGGCGCCGCGGCCTTGCGATTGTAGCGCCAGGCCCCGTGCGCCCCTCGAGGCGGGAAAGCAAGCTCTACACAAAGGAGCCGCGCGTGCCCTTGTGGGGGCGGCGAAAACGATCGTACACAAAGGAAAGTCCTTCGTGTGCCCCCGCGTTGGCACTGTAACCAAACCGCACACAAAGGAATTACACGAGACTTCGTGGCACACAAAGGAATTACAGCAACGCCCTTTGGGTTGCGCTCTTCGCGCACGGTGACAACTCCGAGCTGGACAGGAAGGGAGGGCGGGACAAAGCAAAGCAGGAGAAAAACAAAAAGAAGAGGAGGGCGAGAAAGAAGCGAAGGAAGCAACGGAAGGAAGCCAGGATGCGCGCAAGCGAAGCTACCACTGCGCGCCGAATCAGTTGTTTGTTCGTTCGGTTGGCCGCGCGGCAGATGAATAGAAAAAGACTTGTTTGCTGCCTATCGAGGGGACTTCTTGGGAATGAGACTCGCGCTCTCTTCCCAACCCTGTTTCCCACACCCCGTTGCGAGCGCGCGACGATTTGTTCCGGCCCGCGGGCAGAGGACTGCCAGTTGCTGGTGAGCGGCCTTTCCAACCGTCACGCGTTCCGCACACATGCGACCAGCTAAACGCACTTGCCACGCAAACCGCCAGCTCCAAAGACCGACGCCACACCGATCCCCGCATCCGTGCCAGGCACCCTCTCAACGACGCCCCCTTCCGGCGTAAAACCAATAAAACCCTTTGTGTTTATGTGTGTTTTCCTGTCCTGATACAAAGAGAGAGAGAGAGAGAGAGAGAGAGAGAGAAAGAGAGAAAGTCTTACAGTCGGGGCGTTGACCTAAGGAACCCTAAGTAAGGAACGAGGCAACTTTTTTCCATAAGTTACATTTCGATGCCCCATCGAAAACATAAGGAAAACCTGAGGCAAGCTGCGAAACACTTAAGGAACGCGAAGCCCCTCCACAAACAGAAGGGTTCCTTCTTCAGGGCCCCGGCTGTAAGCCAGGGGCACCCAGGAACAGAGGAGAAGCGGGCAGCGCGCGGAGGAGGCCAACAGAGCCCGCAGCCTCGGAGGCCCTCGGCCCTGGCCGCGGGGCTCTGGCCGTGCAGCCTCTGCGGGTTCCCTCTCGACGATGCCGATGGCGACGGCAATGGCGGTGACGATGGCGATAGCGATGGCAATGGCGATGGCCGTACCCATCGCGGGCTCCTTCTCGATGACGCCGATGGCGCGCGTCAGGGCGTCGACGGTCTCCATCAGCGTGGCCTCCTCGGTCTCGAAGTCGGACGCCTCCGCATCTGCACTGGGGTATTACATGTTGGCCCACGTCCGCAGTGGACAACAGTAGGTGGGGTGCTTGGTGCCAATCCTTCTCCACTGAGCAACAAGAGATGGCCCTGACAATGAGGACTGCTTCTAGCTGCATCCAACATAGCCGAGCACGCCAGCCGCACGCACTGTGGTCCCTCGCCTCCTTTGAAAAGGGTGCCCTCGGGGCTGGTCACACTCGTGGAGTAATGCCTGCACCATCGATCGGATACATGGAATCAGAGACGTACTGAACTTGCAGATTAGAAAAGATCAGCGCCCACCAGAAGGCTGCAGCGGCACACTGGGCCCAGCGATGTTGAGGTGATGCTTGGCCATACTTTGAACACTCCAATGCCTTGCCACGCTTGTCAGCTTGGAAAGATCGTCGGCGAGCGTGGGGGGAAGTGAAAAGGAGAAGGTCTTCTCAGAAGGCGGCGGGACTTCTCAGCAGCCCTGGCGCCGTCTGAGAAGTTCTCTGTTTTCGGGGAAGGCTTAGAACACTTCTCAGCAGGCCAGGGGGCTTCCGAACCTGCTGAGAAGGCCTCCTCCTTCTCGCTTCCCCCCCGTCGCTCGCCACCGAAGAACGACAAGAGACCGTGACAACGACTGCCAGAACGTGAATCGAAGATAATCGGCGGTGGGCAAGCCTCCCTTTAGTAGACCTCCCCTTGGTGAAAACGGTCTGGAACCGAAACCGACTGACCTGGACCCGCAAAACTGACGGCCGCGACGCCCTCTCGCGAACCGAAAACGGCAAATTCCTTAATCGACGCGTCAGGGTAGGAGGTCGATCCACCTCCGAAAGATAAGAGGACGTGAGAGAGACGGACGCCTCCTTCTCGCGGATCAGCGTGGCGTCCTCGCGGCGCGGGGGCGCGCGCGGGCGTGGCCGTCCTCCCCCTCGGGGAGTGAGGGCGATGGAGGGAAGGGGGGAGGGAGGAAGAAGGAGGAGGGAGCTGGGGACGTGAAGGGAGGGGGGGGAGGAAGGAGAGAAGCAGAGAGGAAGGGGGGACGAGTGAGGACGGCCGGCTCGTAGGCGGACGGAGGAACAATGGGCGCAGCTCCACCTCCCCTCGGGGGGTGCCAGCCACACACATACCTCCTCCTCCGCCTCCTCCCACTCCCGCTCCTCCTCCCCCTCCTCCTCCTCCTCCTCCTCCTCGTCCCCTCCCCTCCTCCTCCCGTTCCTCCCGTCCTCCTCCTCCTCCTCCTCCTCCTCCTCCTCCTCCTCCTCCTCCTCCTCCTCTCCTCTCCCGCTCTCTCCTCCTCCTCCTCCTTCTCGACCTCCTCCTCCTCTCGTCCCCCTCCTTCCTCTTCCCGTTCCTCCTCCTCCCCCTCCTCCCCCTCCTCCCCCTCCTCCTCCTCCTCCTCCTCCTTCGGGACGTCTCTTGCAACACCGTGACAGGTCTCTTGCGGTGAACCTCTGAAACTCTGATGGTATGGGCTGGCCAGGATCTCGAACCGAGTGCGTCCTCGAGGACCACAGCGTCAGCTGCGACAACAGAACCAGCAGGAACAGAAAATGTACGTGCCACTCGAAACGATGGGGGAGATGTGCTGATTTGGACGCCCGAAATGGGTACGGAAGGAATGGGTACAATGCCCAACAGCAGATCCTGTTCATTCTGAACAGGATTCGCTGCCCGCGCCGCCGCGGCCTGTGTTCATTCGAGACAAAAGGCCGCCTGCCCAACAGCGGCCGCCGTTGGTTTGGGACAACATTTGTTGTTGGGCATTGTACCCATGTTTTCCGTACCCATTTCGGGCGTCCAAACCTGACGGCCGCCGCGCAAGACCGAGCTCCACCGGAGCAGGAGCCTCCACGCTTCCGAGTCGCTGTTCCATCCTACTTGCGAATCGCTGTTCCCTGCTCCTTTTCTACCCCCTGTTCTTCTCATCTTGCTTCATGATCTTCCCCCGACCTACTGAAACTTTTGATAACTTTCAGAAAAAACACCGGAATCTACACACGTTCACACACACGCACACACACACGCACACACACGCACACGCACACTCTCTCTCTCACACACACACACGCACACGCACACGCACACACATGCATAAACAGCCGCAATGCACGCACACACGCACACGCACACACATAGGTATGTATAGCATGTATGCATACAAATAAAGAAACGGTGGCAAGAGGCAAGAGGCAAGAGGCAACTCCCAGTTCGCCCCAGAGGGCGGCCGCGCGCGGGGCCGGGAGGAGGCGCCGGGGCGCCGCTCATTCAGTCGCCTGACGCATATAATTGTCCAATCCTTTCCCACTCGGGCGAATTTTCTGCGATTGTCATCCAATCGCTTCCACCTCCATGGTGCTTTCGTACCGCCGCTGCAAGATCGTCAGTCCACCTCCGATTGGGTCTTCCTGTTGATCTCTGCGCCGGCCATGGCTGCTTGTCCGGATCCCACTTGAGTACAGCATTGCTCAATTTGTGGTTGTCTTTGATGACAAGTTGTTGTGCCCATTCCCACTTGCACCTTCGTTGCCTAGTCACCCACTCTTCATACCCCATGTTTTCCATCTGCTGAATAGCGTAATGCGTAGATCTTTGTACCCATGTGTGCCAAGGCTCGAGATCACTGGAGCTGCCACTGGAGCTTGACGAAGAAAATGATTCCGTATCGGAACTATCTGCGCTGGATTCCTGCCCTTCCGTGTGGTCGTGCCCCTGACCAGACATGCTTCAATCGTCATTTTCAGACTTCTGTTCATCCGAACTGCCTTCGCTGCGCGCCCGGCGTCGTGGTACTCGAACAATCATACGAAGCATTCGTCTCTGAGTGCTGCGAACTCGCTGTTCTATGCTTTTTGTCATCGTCCACGATGCCGAGCCGTATAACAATGTCGGAAACACCGTTCCGTCGAACAGCCGCAACCGGTCATGGAGAGAATATGATCTCGACGTTAGCTCTTGTTTGAACATCCCAAACTTCCCCCAGGCTGCCCTAATGCGCGCGTCCACCTCGATATCCGTTGATGCAGAAAATGTAAATCTTCGGCCCAAGTACTTCTGCGTCCCACTGAACGGTAAAGTCTCGAGGCGTAGCCCGCCGACGTCTGTGTGCTCGGGGTCGGCCCTTGGGGCGCGAGTTTGAACATTGTGCAATATCTTTGTCTTGTCTGGATGAAGCTGTAGACCCACTGCACTTGCAGCAATCGCAACGCCGGACAACATACGCTTGACTTGAGTGAGAGATTTCCCAACCAATATGACATCATCGGCAAAACGTAAGTTTGTCAGCGCCGCGCTGCTTCCAAATCGCACCGGCAAGCCGTACTTCCTGGATTCCCACGTGGGCCTGATCTGCCGGAACACATGCTCTGAAAGACAATTAAACAACAACGAACTCAGCGGATCGCCTTGTTTCGCGCCTCGCTTTATATGACATTGTTTGCTTGGCCCGTCTGTCTTAACAGTTGCCGTTTTGTCGGAATACAGATTGGCAGTTAATGATATGTATGGCTTGGGAACGCCTTGCGCTGCCATTGCCTCCCATAAAGAAACGTGGGATACAGCATCGGAGGCCTTCTTGAAATCGAGCGTCGCCGCCCAGACTGGGATTTGCCACTCCCGGGAGATCTCATGAATCATGTTCAAGGTGACCAGGTGATCAACAGCGCTGAAATGTCTGCGAAATCCAGCTTGTTTGGGCGGCTGCTGGGCATCGAGTACGGGTTCCAATCTGTTATAAAGCAATCGGGATAACAGCTTGCATAGCCATGGGATGAGGCTGACTGGCCTGTAGTTTTCTGGCAGGTCCTCAGGTCCAGCTTTGTGGATAACGCTAATCTGGGCATGTCTCCACTTCTCCGGGGGGGGTCGCTCCAGGCTGCAGTGCGGAATTGTGCAAGTCCAGCATCGCTTCATTCAACTTCCGCCCACCATGTTTGAGCATTTTTGCTGCAATACCTTCTGTGTCCGCTGCTTTCCCGTTTTTTAGCTGCTATAATCCTGCACGTAATTCGTTCATCGTGAAAGGCTGGATGAACATCTCGTGCGAATCAGACCCTACGTCTTCACGTCCTTGGTCGCCTGCCCCGGGAATACACGCATAGAGCGTCTGGAAAAAAGTCTGCGAAAACATCTGCAATCTGTTGCCGGTCGCATGTGACGTGGCCATCGTCCTTGCGCATGCTCGCGATGACGCTCTTGATTTGTCCACTCTTGATCTTCTTGATTTGGTCGAGCCCCTTGAACTCCATAAGTATATGTTCGATCCGCTCCTTGCGCCGTCGTCGTTGCTGCTTTCTTATTTCCCTTTTGATTTGCATGCTATGTAGCCGTCTCTGGTTGCAGTTTCCCGCAGCCAGGCCCACCCGCTGAAAAATAAGCGCTTGTAATCGTGATCGTTGTTCTCGTGCTTCCACTGGTGTTTCCTCATCGCGGCAAGCTTCTGTCATAGACTGGCGAATGGCATTCTCAATCGCGTCGTATTTCTCCTGCACAGAACAACCCAAACAATCTTTGAACTCAGCATGTTCCACTGAAGACGTGTACCGCTCTTGATGTAGAGGAGGCCATTTATGTACACGACGCCTTTTGGTGTTCGGCTTCTGGCTGGAACTTTTTTGTTTTATGCGATGCTTGCAGAATGCTGCTTCGTAGCCGCGCCGCTGTGTAATCAGATCCCAAGTCGACGCACGAGCACGCGACTGAGTCCAAGACCGCCTTCCAAAAACCTCTGGACACCAAAATGTAATCGACCTGTTTGGGGTCGTGATGTACTTTATGGTACGTCGGTAATAAATACGGCTGCTTCGTGAACATCCTGTTTGCCAGCACAAGGTTCTCAGCGTTTGCCCAATTCTTCAACCATTGACCTCTAGTATTGCCTGGTCCGTGGGCGTGCGCCCCACAAACTTTGGCATTGTCATGCTCCTCCGCTGGCCCTGCTTGCGCGTTGCAGTCGGATCCGATCACCGCGTGGACATTTCGCAATCTAGCGCCCCGCACGGTTTCAGACAATATGTCGTAGACGTCCTGGACGTGCTGGTCATCATACTTCCGGTGCGGGAAATACGCAGCGATGAAACGCGCCCGTAGCTGAGCGCACCTGATGTCCACAAAAGCGACACGTTCGCTCACAGGTACAAGCTGTGACACGTGCGCTGCCCATTTCTTGTGCAACACTATCCCAACGCCATGCTTGTGCGTGTCCCCCCCAGCTCCCATGAAAACGTGCCCATCCCTTGTTTCCCACATCTCTTTACGAATTGGCCGCATGGTCTCGTTGAATGTGAGAACATACCACTGTAGGTCCCCAGTCTCTTGCAACAGTTCCATAAATCGATCGTCGTTCGTGAGGCCTCTCACGTTCTTGTGAATTATCGTGAACCTTTCTGGCTCGTCTCGGAGGGGTCGGTGGATAGTGCAGGGTGAATGGAAAGGTTGGTGAGGGGTCAGTAGACAGGTAGGGACATCTCCAGGAACTTCAGCGTAAGCTCCTCTGCCTCGTCCTCCTCCGTGGCTTGGTGGAGCCTGTGGTCCGGGCTCCGGGGGTATACAGGGACCCTCGAGTGAAACAGACTGGTGAAACTCAAAACTCGAATGGTTTTGTTGGGTAACTGCATTTTAGTACCCACGCCCATTCCTTCTTCTTGCCTCCCACACGCTAGTCACTCGGACTCATCCGTGCCTGGCTCGGGAAACCGTTTAGCCTCCCACTTCTTCATAGACTCCTCAATATTCTCTTTGACCGCCTTGGCCATAGTCGCCGTACGAAAAATACCAGCTTCGTCATACCATGCCACTTTTTTGTCCTTGACTGTGACCATGGACAAGTGCCATAATATCTTGACGTCTTAGATATTTGCTTTACCCTCATCGACGATATGATGTTTTGTAT